TTTGTCATTTATATGTAGTTTTTGTACATATATACATATATGTATATATATATGTAAAGTTTCAAGTCTTTAGTCTCTGTTGTGGCTTACGAGATCTATGCATTCGTACGGACAGACGAATAGACAGACGAAATGGACTCAGCTCGTCGTAATTTGAAGTTTTTTTTCATAAACATGCAACTACAACAACGAATTGTTAACTGAATTAAAGAAAAATGCACATTCAAAGCTGTAAATAGCATGGCGTTATATAACCAATTCGTTTTGCCCAAATGCATTTAATTCGCCTAATTGTTGCAATATGGAGAACAAAATCGTGAACGAGAATATCCAACAGCTGCTTCAGTGAGACATCTCTTCTGGCTTAGTCTGTTATAGTTTATCAATTGTGTTGCTAAAATACCAGATTTGAACAGCTCAGATAGAAAGAACACTTTATAGTTGAGCAAAAAATAATTATGTAAATAGATGCGACTTGGAGAATTTTGTTTGTAAAAACTTCTGGCTCTTACCATGTTTGTTCTATAAATATTGATACAGCAGAGGCAAAACAAGTTTTGAGACTAATAATAATTTGTGCTACACATTTGAAGTCCCGTTAAACTAAATCAATATTAATACAAAGAATAGCAGTCATAATAGACAAATGCTTATCAAATCGAAAATCTAATTTATGCATGCCAAAATTTCAATGCCCTCAGCACAGTGATTAATTAGCAAATGACAAAGCCTGAAGTTGTCAGGCCAACTATCTGAATAGCAATTTATGTAATATGCCAGGGAGTGTCATATAGCTAATATGCTTCGCCACGGTAATTTCCATATGTTGGCTAACCAGACGTAAAAAATCTAATCGCGTCTGAATAGTCTCTAAGGGCCCCTTCGAGCCCCTCCACAGCAGCTGCATCTGCATCCGCATCCGAGTTCCGTGCGAGTCGAGACGCAACCGGCAACTGGCAGGCAGCACAACTTGCCACGCAATGGCGCAACTTGTCGGTGTTGGCCATGCAACAGAATGTGGCAGCCAAACAGCAGAGCGGTTAGCTGTTATCTGACAGCGCCCAATGTGGACTCATTTTCTATTTGCCCAACTGTTCTAATCTGTTGTCTCTGTTGTTTCAATAGACTACATTCGACTGAGATCGAATCTACTTACATTTGACATCATTCAATATAATTGAGAATTTTTAGCACTCCATGTCTCTATACACTTACATTGATGGCAACAGGAATCAGTCATGCGGTTGGTAGCTTGGCCACGATACAGCGCATCGCATTTCTGGCCAGTCGCTAAAAAACGTGCTTATGTTCGAGTTGTAGAAAATCCAAATGAGCTGCAGAAAAAGAGTGTTGCGATAAGTAGACTCTTGGAAAGTAGACGTGACAGAAAGAAGACTTAAAACGATATATATATATATATATACTTATATACAACAATCGGATGCAGGTTTACCAGTAAAAGCAGCAGCTAAAGCTCGCATCTCAGTCTCTCTTGGAGCTATTTAATTAAAAGGTATTTTATTTTATTTATATTCTATATAGCAAAGGAAAAGGCATTCAATTTGAAAATTTAAAAAGAAAATAACATCAATAAAATATTACTTAAAAATCGAATAGCTTTGAGCTCTGATATATACACACTAATAAAATAATTAATATTTATTTTATTTCTTGTATTTTATACGATTATAGGTTATTCAGATCGATATAAAAAATCAATCGCAAAAACCAAAGAAAAAAAATAATAATTAAATAAAAAAATAAAAAAAAAAGTCAAGCAATATTCGGCTCTTATCGCAACCGCAAGAGCGTCTATATAAATTCACTTCTGCTCTTCAGTATAATATAAGAGAAGCAAAAACTGCACAGAAGATTTGTGGCCAACTGAACTCAAAACAAACCGGAAAAGTGGAAAATATAATTCGAATTTTTTCATGCAAGCAGCATGAGTACCTAGGACACAAGACAACGAAGAAACATCACAAAACGTGGGTTGCAAATAAGTACATAGTTAAGAGCTTCAAAAGACCTCGCTGATAGAGCAGATTCATCAAAAAGTAAATAAAAAAAAATAAAAATAAAAAATAAATGAAGAGCATTCCTCACAGTCAAACAATATTCGGCTCTTATCGCATTCGCAAGAACATTCATAAACCTCTACTTATGCTCGTCGATATAATGTATAGAGAAGCAAAAACTTCACAGAAAATTTGTGGCGAACTAAATTTAAAAAAATCGGAAAAGTTGAAAATAGAATGAGCATTTTTCATGTCAGCAGCAAAAGTGCTCAGGACAAAAGATAACAGCGAAACCTCAGAAAACGTGGGCTACAAATAAGTAGTTAAGTGCTTCGACAGACCTCGCTGATAGAGCAGTCGGTAGTGCTCCATAAAAAGAGAAGCGAAATATATAATAAGAATAGATGAAGAACATATCTATTTGTGTGCAGTTGGTATGTTTATCTGTACATAACATAAAACATTTTAATCAAATATTGCGAGGAGGCAACTATGTCGACGTAAGCGCTGCAGAAATCTACTCGGCTGAGAGGTAACTGTGATCCGAGCGGAGCAGCCGACTACAGTTCAGCAGTGGCTGTCGCCAGCCAAACATCGAGCGTTAAGCGTGAATTGGAATTCAAAGTGGAACTGGAATCGAAACGGAAATCGAAACCGAAATCGAAATCGAAATTGGAATTGAGTTCGTTCACATCTATACAGCAGCAATCAAGTGGAGATCTAACTGAGCGCAATATGTTGGCGGGTCATGTGCGCCTCCTCAAAATACTATTCGTGATCATCTCAATAAAGCTGTTCATCGTGGTCGTGTTCTTTGGCTACGACAACACGAATGAGGTAGTTCGTCCACAGCGCTTCGTGATCATCGATGAGCTGCTGGTAGACAAAAGCGATGGTAAGTCACAATGGCATCTTGTCACAATAGTGGTTAATTGAGTGGTTAATTAAACATTGGCATATTCTAGAGCCCAGCTGGGCGGATCGTCTGAAGCTGATACGAAAGGAGATGCCCTCATTTCCGCTCGAGGAAATGCATCGTCGACCGGCGGGCATTCCGAAATGCGGCAAAGTGCCCAACCTCTTGGAGATCGACTTCAGCAACGACTATTGGCAAACTTTCACGAATGTCAACCTCACTTACCACATCTTTGGCGCCTACTACGACAACAGAGAGACGATGAGCGAGGCGCCGCTGGTGCGCGTGCTAACCATGATCAATCATTATGGCAAGCGTGGCGAGATCAGCTATCCGGAAACCTTTTGCCAAATCTGGTTCAAGGGTCGCGTCGAGCCGGTTGTCGTGAATGTCACAGATCACAAGTTAATATGGTACTGGGGCGGTACCTCGGCTTATGTCTTCCCAACGCTCCTCAGCTGCTGTTTGCCCAAAGCGAACGACACCGACGCAGCGGAGGCACCCGAAATGGTGTCGCTGGTAACGCAGCCCTGCAACAAGCCCAGGAATGTGATGCGCGTCATTTACGAACCGGATGACAGTAGTGCAAATGCCACAGACGCTCCGCAGGGGCGGCAGCAGGAACAGCAGCAGGAGCAAACAAATAGCACGCAACTACAACGGAAACCATTACGGTTTATGGTCTGCGTCAAGGCCATGGACTTTATCTACAAAGACATGTCCTGGCGGTTGATTGAGTGGCTGGAATTGATGCGCATTCTGGGTGCCGGCAAGGTGGTCTTCTATGATAGTCAGATGCATCCGAACATGACGCGAGTGCTGAACGACTATATGCAAAGCAGTCCCGGCTTTGTGGAGGTGTGGCCCTTGTCAATGGCACGCGGCGAGCCGCACGCTGTCCCACACTTTCAGCACTATGTCATGCAGGAAAACAGCTTGAATCGCATACTGAACGAAATGATACCCTATAATGACTGCTTCTATCGCAACATGTACAAGTACGACTACATTGGTGTCTTTGACATCGATGAGGTGATCATGCCGCTGGGCAATGTCACCAACTGGTCAGATCTAATCGATCTGGCGTACAAGGTGCCCGACTATCAGCGGGAGACGTGGAACTGCAGTGAATGGGCTAGCTTTTGCTTTCGCAACGTCTACTTTCCCGCCTATCCCGAACGACCCAAGGTATACAAGAAGCTGCCCAGCTTCTACTACATGCTGCAGCATGTGGAGCGCGTTAGCGAGCACTGTGATCGATTTTCGGCCACCAAGTGCCTGCACTCCACACGCTATGTGATCGGGCTGCACAACCACTTTCCGCTCTTTCGGGCGGGGAAGGACGAGTGCGAGCCAAAATCGGTGCCCGTCGAGTATGCCCAGCTGCAGCACTACCGCGAGCCGGACAATAAAACCCGCCTCTTAAATCCCATCATAGACGACAGCATCTGGCGATTTCAGCCGCTGCTGCAGCAGCGTGTCTATGCCCAATACGAGCGGCTCGGCTTTCTGCCCAGCGCGGAGCAAGTGCTGAATGCCCAGGAGCAGCGGATCAAGGACGACGAGCTCCTTTTAAACAAATCAATCTCAATGGGATAGAAACTCGTATCTCATCCAAATACTAGGCTGATGTACTTTTTTTTTTATGTATAGTTTTTTTTTTTTTTTTCTTTATATAATAATTTTATGACACACGCCTCTGTCAAGGTATCCACGAACTATATTGCCTACATTATCTACCTCGTTCAACTCACACGCCGACTATGTAGCAACTGGAACTTTGTTAGATCGACAAGCTGTCATACTACTTTAAAATGTAAATATACATTTCAAATTAAAAAATATCCAAAAATAGTCAAGTATAAATATACGTGCAGAAATACGCCAGACAGTTTGTCCTCAGCTCTATTGAATTAGATTTACAAATGATGATGAACTGTGTGTTTTGCTGGAATTTCAATGATCTGAATGTTTGTGCTTGCGCTAACAACACAGTTGCTGTGGCGAAATTGTGCCTAATAAAACTAGATAAAGCCGACAACGACTCTGGCAGCCGAGCGAAATGGGCCATAAGTTCTAAAAATGACAAACAACCGCCAAATGTGGCATTGTTGCTTGGCGGCGAGCTATGCATGGGAGACGCTCTCTGGCTCTGGCTCTGGCTCTGGCTCTTTCTCTGGGTCTGGGTCTGGGTCTGGCCTAAGGCGCTGACTGGCGCATAGCCTGTCTGGCAAACTAAACGCAAACACAACTAAATGGTAAACGAAACCAGCCTTAGTGAATGTGTATGTGTGTGTACGTGTGTGTGTGTGTGTGTGTACTCAGAAGTGCGCACAAAAACGCACCTGAGCGCAAATGAATGATGATGTTGTGCAGTCGCTACTTTTTGTCGATGCAACATCCTGCGCCGGCTGCACAGTGGTCAAACGAAGTCAATAACCTGATGAAATAAATGTAGAAAGTCAATTTCAAGCAATCCAATTGTTTTGCCTAAGCTTGTAGAGCTTATTAAAAATAAACAAATTGAATAATATATATAAATAAAGTTGAAACTGTAAAGCTTTAAACAGAAGGAGCAAACAAAAAAATGGTTTTTCATTTTTTTTACGGGTTTCATATTCATAATA